CTAAATTGACTACGATTCACTCTATAATAGACAAGTAAAAGTGACTGGCGGTCTCACTGTTTTAGTTTTTTAATATGGCAGTGGATTTGTAATTAAAACCCCAAAAAGGACGTAAATAGTTTCCGGATAGCGCCTATCAAGAACGATAGTACACAAGGGCAAAGGTCATAATTTAGGATAGAGATGCTTGAAACAACAACTGTTTGAACGTCGTAGTAACTCACGACTGTCTTTTACCATGAAGTTGCCTTTCTTCCTCTTCGTCTTCTGGCCACCTTTACTTTACGTTGTTTGTCAAGGTATCTTGGAACTAAGCCTCTTAGTGTTTAATTTTACCATTAAAGGAGGAGGTCAACAGTGTGTAATCTTAAATCGCCCTATACCAAACACCGTCTGCTCCAATGTTAAGGATTGTGCAAAGATGATGTCTTAATACGTTATGTGACAATAATTTAACTTGCTGTAATACTAAATATTTGGATAGTGATAGTGATGAATGTGGAAAATAAATTAGAGTCCAATGGAGGGTTTTTCAAAACAGTACTCGTGCAGGTCGAGGGCTAGGTGTGAAGTAGTATTAGTCCACACCTAGCCCTCGACCTAACCAAACAATAGCAATAAGCTTACAAGTGGGCTGGAGGAACTACAAAGCAAGGTTACTTCTTCAACGATAAGTTTGGAAACATTACCACAAGGCCGGCCAGATTCTGAAACGGGACCTATTTTCAGAACGCTACGACCTCGACTAGTGTACCTTTTTAAACGTGTAGTAAACAAGCATTTTTATTACATGCTCGGCTTTAAAGGGAACAGGGCGAAACCCTTAGGTTCGAAAATATCGTGATAACCGCGTTCGGTTTCCCCAATACGTTTCTTGTTATCGCTTGCTATCGCCAGACACACTTTTGTTCATGTTCAGTATGAAGCGGTATATGTGTAAATGTTCCTGTTTAACAAATTTAAAAAAATTCAAAACCACATTTTTGAACACTTAGTGCAGTTCTCAATTGCAGTTCTCTTGTGCAGTAATAGACCCCTTCCATACGCCGACTTTTTAGCGCATTTTGTCCGTCCGTCCGTCCGGACCTACTAAACACATGTTTTACCCTTCATGGTATTCTAATGAAAGGTCTCATCGAAATAAATTGGTTTGAACAAACTATAGCTTTCCCGTGCGACTCTTTTTCGAGATCAGTGAGCGACGGGGCCTGAGGGGGGGGGGAGGGGGTTAAAAATTAATTTTATCTTTCATTGTATTCTAATTAAGGGTCTTAACGAAAGGAACAGTTTTCTACAAACTGCTGCCCTTCTTTCTGTCCTCTTATCAAAGTACAGGGGGGAGTGGAACTAGTTTTATCCTTCATGGTACTCTAATGAAAGGTCTCAATGAAAGGAATTAATTTATACTAACCATAGTCTTCCTCCTCGATCCCTTATCGTGATCGGTTATAATTCCTTATATCTTAAGAGTGAATTATTGTCAAAGGAAAGTACCTACAAAGGCCTATTGGGACGTTTGGAAGAATCATTGGGCATTTAAATCAAGTTTGATACATAGCCACTTGGAATAAAACCAAATTTAACGCCAGTTTCAAAATTTCGTTTTGCGCATGCGCAGTGCCAACTTTCTTATTTATGGAGGGATCTACTGAAATTTAATACATACCACTTGGAATAAAAGCAAATGTAGCGCCATTTTCCAAATTTGGTTTTCTGTAAGATGTGCAGTGCCAACTTTCTTATTTATGGAAGAAATTTTGTAGGGGTGTTTAAAAAAAATGCGCTTTATCTGCACAATGGTTGTGCACAATTTGTACTTCTTTAATTTACAGAGGGTGGGTTTTCAAATTCTATCTGCGTAAGTTTTTCAAATCTATGAGACCGCCCTTTATTACTACACATAGCAAATTTTTAATCTATACCCAAGGCCGTATATAGTGCGAAATGGGGGGGGAGGGGGAATTGGACATGAAAGGATGGAAGATGAAAAAGATCCCATGACCTTGAATTTGCTTTTTGGTTTTTTATCCCCTTCAGTTCTGGTTTTTTGATCGATCTTTTACCGTTTGCGGTCGATCTTTTGTATGGCTTGATATTATTCTTTAGCGTTTTGCATATAATATTTGCCTCTAAATATTCTCCAATGTATATGGAAGGTATACCGTATTTACCCTCCGTTTTAAAAGGGATGTCGGCTTAATACAAGAAAGTTATAATGTCACTTTTCCGGACAGGGAGCAGTGGCTGAATTTATAAATTCCCTGTTCCTCAAAGCTGAAGGACTCATTTGGTATATAGATAGATTCCTAACAGGAGGGGGAACAAGCACGGATATACGGGGTGTAGCACCTAAGATCCCTCGGATCATAATTCCTTTATCATAAATGATACCGAAAAAAGTCTTATAGCAAAATTGTACACAATTACCGTCGCCATATTTCTAAAATATTTTTGATCACCAGGGGCGTGCTGTATTCCAGTGTCGTATCAAACTTGCATTTTTTAAATAGAACGCTCCATATTTTATTACTGATTTGGAATGTAATTGAAAAATACTTATTTTAACGATTTTGCTGTTATAACATTTTTTCGTCAAAATTTGACAGTCCTTCGAAATTTTTTTTAGTGAAACTAAATGGCGCAGGCGTCTAATTTTTTAATTGAGGCACAGGTTAAGACCTCTTTCATAGTCACATAATTTTTTTAGGGAAGTTTAATTTTTGATTGATCTAAGAATAAATACTATATCAACCTTTTCTGCTTGAGTTTGAGACATCTTTACAACGTTGATTAAAAACAATCATACACTGCCGATACTTTACTGTTAATTGTGAGAATTGAACCTAAAAAAAATTATGGGACTATGAAAGAAGTCTTAACCTGTGCCTCAATTCAAAAATTAGCCGTATGCGCGATTTAGTTTCTCTAAAAAATGAAGAACTGTCAAATTTTGATGAAAAAAGGTTATAACTGCGAAATCGTTAAAGTTGGGGATAAAAAAATAAGTATTTTTCACGTACATTCTAAATCAGTAATAAAAAAATGTTCCAAAACCCACTCGTGGGTATTGCCGCGTAACACAAAGTATTGAAACGACGCATCGTCACCAAAAGCACACAAAATGTCGAATCTGCATATTGAAGCACATCCACGTCCAGAGAAAGAGAGGAGTTATAAGTTATAAAGTTTCAAAGAAATATTACCATACATAAGAAAGTTGGCTATGAGCAGCCTGTGCAGTCACTGCGTATGCCCACATAATTTTTACTATGTGCGAAATGTTTGCCTTTACTAGAAGCGCCTGTGGTTAAAATTTCAAAGAAATATCTCCATAAATAAGAAAGTTAGCATTGCGCAGTCACTGCGCATGCCCACATAATTTTTACTATGTGCGAAATGTTTACCTTTACTAGAAGCGCCTGTGGTTAAAATTTCAAAGAAATATCTCCACAAATAAGAAATTTGGCATTGCGCAGTATGCCCACACATCACTGCGCATGCCCACACATTATTTTTACTATGTGCGAAATGTTTGCCTTTACTAGAAGCGTCTGTGGTTAAAATTTCAAAGCAATATCTCCATAAATAAGAAAGTTGGCATTGCGCAGTCACTGCGCATGCCCACATAATTTTTACTATGCGCGAAATGTTTATCTTTACTAGAAGCGTCTGTGGTTAAAATTTCAAAGAAATATCCCCATAAATATGAAAGTTGGCATTGCGCAGTCTGCGCAAAATATGGAGTTAAATGAAACTGATCGAATTGGGCAAATATAGACCATAACAGCTATCAATTAGCGAAAACCCGAAGTCTCTAGGTGGCCCAGGGGCCGAGATCTCGATGGAACGGACGGACGGAAACACGAGCACATAAGCTTTACCTCAACTTCGTTGTGTTACGCTAAAAATTGGGGTATTCCATTTAAAAAAATGCAAGTTTGATACGCCACTGGAATACAGCACGACCCTGGTGATCAAAAATATTTTAGAAATATGGCGACGGTAATTGTGTACAATTTTGCTATAAGACTTTTTTCGGTATCTTTTATGGTAAAGGAATTATAATCCGAGGGATCTTATGTGCTACACCCTGTATATGGCGATCGAGCGATAACTTCTCGCTTAATTACCATAAGTACCGTGTTTCAGGCATCAACAATGTATGCCACAAAAAAAACAACAGTTACAAACTTTGCGAGAATACCGATCGGACAAATCTTCCATTTTTCTGGAAATTTATGCGATCTCTTTCTAATTTGATCATCGTTGTATCTTATATGAATTCACAGCTAAGTGTAAAAGACGCCTATCATGACTCCCAAACATTGAACTGACCGGGTCAGACCCGTCCTCGTGCCGTCTTTTTAGGGTAACTGAAAGATCTTGGTTACTACAACACGGATCCACCTGACCAAGGGGTCTCTGTATGAGCTCTTCCGAGATGTTTGGTGACTTTCTAGTTCCCGTGTACACGCTCCGCCCTCATTTAGATTGTAGAAGAGCCCATCAAGGACAAGGAACAACAGCACTGGGGGACACTCCAGTCTGCGGAAATGTTCTAGTGACTGAAGGGCTTATCTACGTTGTCTCGCGGATACATCGTTTGATTGACCCATCAATGCCAACCCTTTCAGTAGCTTCACTAATGGAATCGAATGTGGTGTTTAAGATGCACTTTAGACATCTAAAAACACTCCCAGGGTTACCCCCACCCCACTCCCCTGGCAGACATTCCTCTCTCCAGCCTGCAAACGAGCCATCTCTGTGGGCGTATTAGCCCTGAAAACATGTTGGAATAGGTGTATAGTTGTCTGGTCTGGTGTAAATGGTAACAAATGTTTAAACATTTAGACGACACAGACTATAGATAGATATCAACTTCAAAACTGAAAAGCAAATAGTCTAAGTTAAGACAATTCCAATGAAAACGTCAAGATAACAAGATAGGGGAGTTTACTTTAGAAACCAGCCAGTTTTTATTTTGATAGTCCATGATAACCATGTCCGCGATAACACGACGCAAAGTGTTGTTCACAGTTTTGCTTCTAATACTAATTTTATCGCTTTCGTATGTAATATTCAATGCAAACTTAAGTCAGCGCGATCCTCTGGGGCAAAAAGGGTCTAGACCATTGTCACCGGAGGAAATTGCATTTATAAATAAGCTGCTTGTGAGTGACAGTGACGAAACAATTCCCTTAAAAAATTTAACGAGAGACACTTACAATCGCAGCGCAATCTTCTTTGTAAGGGACACATCCTCAGAAGAATTCGAATTATCATGCGCTGTCGAATCGGCTTCGTTGAGAAATCCAACTTTCAACGTGATCGTACTCAGTTCCGATACCGAAATTAACTCCAGCGATAGACTCGTGCGCATTCTACAGTCTTATGAGAACGTGAAAATGTTCCACGTGGACTTTGGTTCCCTAACGAATAACAATGTGTCAACCTCTGATGTAGACACCAGGCTGGCTCTACTCTGGTCCCATGGGGCAATTTACTTAAACCACGACATTATCAGCCTTAAGCCTCTTCGTGACCTACCAGATAATTTCCTAGTGAATCTGGAAGATGGAAGAATCAGTTTCGATGCAATTGGGTGGCGTAATCGAAACGGCACTGAGCCCGAGTTACCAGCGAATGGCACTCTGTAAGTTACCAATAACTTTGACACCAGTAATTCTTCGTTTCTAGTCCAGTGAACAGGTTGTGTGTAGAGGTTCAAGGTAGTTTAGCGCTGGAGCAGCGATGTGGTGAATTCAAAATTTTGAGTTTCCAGAATTTCTACGCGAATACACTCAATGGGTCGTTAGTAAATAGCACTGCAGCAAGTTACGCGGTGAAAGTCGATGGTCACAACAGAGTACTATTGGCGAAGTTAGCCGAGAAGTACTGCCCAACCACTTTTCAGGAGATGAAAGCAAAATCGGTTTGATTGGAACGCAAAAGTCCTGAAACTCGTTTCAAGAAGTCGGTTTGTTGGCTTCTCATAAAAAGGGAGGGTGGAAATGACACGGCTCTTGAAAATTATTTATTAATCATAAGTACATAATCATTTGGCAGTGCACAGAGCATACGTAATAAAATGGTTCATGCAGCTAACATCAGTGACACTTAGCCTACTACAAAAGTTGGTATTTTTCATTTATCAGTACGATTTTAGTTTCATTTTAATTTTCTAATGTTTTAGTCTTTAGTTGTTATTGAGCCTCGTTTTGTTTAGTGTCTATCGAACTTTTTTTTACAATAATAATAATATACCTAAAATTCAATAAACGTATTGAAAAATAAGTCTATTTTAATTGCCAACAAATTTTTATATCATTTTTTTAGTGATTTTTAGTTTCATTTATATAAATATTTCTCTAGAAATACTTTTTTTAAATTTTGTCTATCTAACTTATAAATATGTATAAACCACAGCGTCTCACGTAGTGAATAACTATCTCGGTATGCACACTCAGACATTTACCTGAATTTTAGTAGTCTAATTATGAATGCTATACATCAAAACCACCTTTTATTCTATTCCAGAGCAAGGGCCAATGTAGAAACGTATCCGAAAAGAGAAATGACAAATACAAAGCGAAGCTAGGGCTCTTCTCTCTTCCACAACTCATTAAATCGATGCCAGTTGCAAATTAACCGTTCCTTTCCAAGGAGATCTCGCCTGTCACAGCTTAGGATACCTTTAACCATCGATCGATTGAATATTCTAACGCTGCCACCCATCTGAAACATAATTGAAATGATCCATTAATTTTTCTTTGGACTTCATTATATGATAGGTTCTCAAATACAAAAAGTGTGCCAGGTTTATGGAACCAGGCGTCCTGAACGACACGTGGCAATCAGTGGCGTAACTTCATTTTGAGGGTCCGTCTTCAAAAATATTTGGGGGCCCTTTTCCTTACCACTTGAATTTCTAATGACCATCATCTTAAAATATATAAATGAAAGTTCACTAGAAATACACCCCAGAAGATCCGGATTCTTTAATAAAGATAACACACCCATATCTTCTGACGTTACTCGACTCCGAGTTTTAAAAAAAACTTGATGGTTAGGGATAGCTGCAAGAATTGCTTGTGAAGGCTTCAGGAATTAATAAACTTTAACCAATTTAATTCTTTGATGTTCAGCGTTTTTTTTTGCTTTTCTCTTGGAGATTCCACTATGGCATTTTCGTCCGTTCTAAGTTCAAAATTTCAAACGACAAGTACCGTTGGCCTATCTACAGACGCCGCTTGAGAAACATATAACTCATTTAGTTTGATTAGCAATTCTTTGTGTATGACTCTGCTTTTTTGAATGTCGCTAACTGTTTCGTCCGTGCAGAGGTAAATGCTGGAGAGTTAAAATTACTTAGCGGCATTAATTTTAGTCTAAGGTAACCCGTATCCAGGACCTTCATAAACCCTCTGGACTGCAGAAGGTCCCGCTAATTAATAAAGTATTTAATGTGTACTTTATGTAAGAGACTTTGGAGTGTTATTTTTCACAAATGGGAAAGGAGTGGAGTTGCTTTTAAATCTATTTGAGGTGGCTACCTTTGAGCATATCAAATTTCGTATTAAATTAAGGTAAGATATTTAAATGATTAAAATTCAAGAGTTACTTCCTCGGATTGTTAATGTTTATACCGGGTGATTCATTAGAAGTGAGGACAATTTGAATTTCCCTCAAATCAAAAAAATTATGAAGTTGGTATTAACTGATAATCTTTTATTTAATTGCAGTGGTGTATCATCATGGTTTCAGTAAATTGTTTACCTATATAATCCACAAATACTGCTTCTGTTTTACCACAAATTATAAACTAACACTAGACACAGTCACGTTTCTTACATATTTTAGTGCATCAACTCTAAAAATTGTTCAAAATGGAATAAGTAATAAACCGCAAATGGCATACAACAATAAAATTAATGGCGTCACTGGTTTCTTAAATGACAGTCATGACAGAAAAAAATTACTAACGAAATTCAAACCGTCAATCTAATAATGCAAAAAATACTAAAATCTTACGCGCGAAATTCAAGCGATCATCACTTCTAATGAATCACTCGGTATATTGTTTCTTTTTGGTCTTCACCTATTTTTGGCTTTCGTAAAAATCATTAAAAAAAATAATAAGCAGGTACTTTTGAAAATTTATACAATTTTGCTTACAAAATTTACCAAACGTGGATAATAAATCTCCATATTCAGCTTGTATCCAAATTTTCATTTATGCTCTTAAGATTTGTTGCAATATGGCTTAAAAATGTTGCTTAATTCCAAAACAAGTGGCGTTTTATTGCCCTGCCCGGTATATATAGCGACGAAAATTCTGAAAAATCCCTGCCGATATACAGGGGTGAATGGGGAGCCATAAACCGGTCCGTGAGATATACATGACTATCGGCTCACTTAGCGGGTGGGAGAGGGGTACTCAATGCGCCCTAATTTCAAACATTTATGCTTTTTTTAACACTGATGTTTGATAATTATTTCTCAACAACATAAATGCTTCTAGATTATTGTTACACAATCTGTTCCTTAATCGGAATTATACATTTCAGAATTGCGAAAGAATAAGAATCAATTAATGAATCTATAAGTCTTAAAATGGATTAATTTATAACGGTAATTATAAGCGCGAAATATTCATTATTTCGGCGTTGAAATTGGAACTCATTGAAACGCAATTCCGGCAAATTCGATTTGCTTATATAGTAAACGCCGTTCTTTCTGGAAGGCTCCCGAGTATTCTAGAATGTTCTCTAACAAACACGTCGTATTTCCCGGAAAGATTGCGTCACATCTACCTTCGCTCTTTATCACCGATTCTTCTTCTTTCATGGCGCCTCGGAATTTATGGAATATTCGCTATAACGTTTCTTGATATAAATTCTACTGGTAATCGCACTATAATAACAGCATCTAAAACAGTTTTGACAACTACCACAAACGGCATTTTTAGAGAAATCATCGACATTTTGATAACGTTTTTCCAGTAGATTATTAGGCAATACTTCATTTTTAAAATCAGGGAAGTAATAAGAATTTAAAAAGGAAAGATCCATACAGAAATCTGCATACTTTGTAAAAATCTACCTTTAATCGATTCAATTGACTTGATTTTAAGAGTCTGAACATAGAAATTATCAATTTTCTCCCAATTTACTCATTTAAATATCCTTATTAGTTATTTCATTTTTAGCGCATCTTTGCAAATTTGTGTCAAAGGTAGCTTTTAATCTCACTTGAACCGGCTGACTAGCTGGCTAGCAGCAAATGCGGGCCTGTAGCAAACCGCTTGGAGGAAGACAAGGAGTGTAATTAGCACGTTACTACATGATAGGGTTGACGACATCTGGGAGCAATCCCGAAGCGTGTTGTACTAACGTGGTGATTTTTCCTTCTTCTTCTACACTTTAGGTCCGACTGTGCGCACCTAAAAGTTTCTTAAGTGCTCGAATCGCGGTCTCTCTTTCTCGTGTCGCCAATAGAGGCTGGAGCTATGAGAAGTGTTCCTAAAATTGAGTACTATTCTGTGGAGGGTTTTTAGCAAAATCCACCAAAATACGAATTGCGGGTGAACGGGACGTCGGAGGTGGGTAACGACAAAGGGAATGCGGTAGCCTTCAAACAAGATCTTATTGATGAACACGAGGACTTAGATAATTTTTTATTTGCACCGTCACACCGAAACAAGAAATGCATCCTCAAAGACGCTTTTAAACGTCGTTGAAGCTTCGGATCGCGTTACTAGATGCTGCACGTGTAACATAGTCACATTAATTAATTAATTCGAATTTAAGTTGAGTACAGTTCGGATCGACTAAGGTAAGAGTGGTTGGTATATTCTAATCTTTGATGTTGATAGGTATTTGGAAGAAGTTTGGTGATGTTTTCTAGTATGATGAAATCTGTAGTCTTCGAGAATTTATTTTTTCTAACACCAACGAAGACGTTGTCGCATTCTTGAGCTCGAAGAGCAAGTATCTCGGTTGCCTGCACAAGTCTATGGGCCCACGACCTTTAGCATCGATTATGTTGATTCTGAAAGTTTTGAGAAATTTTTCCTTGCCCGTACGTCACAATAATGCAGCTAAAGCGGATGACGGCTTCGGTTGATTTATAACTTGATGTAAAATGGTCCGATTGAAGACAGTTGAAGCACAAGCTCTTATCTTTCACGATGTGATGTATTTTGTACTGAATTGATTTGTCATAGTTTCCACTGCATTTATGATGTCGTGTATTTTGTTTTTATGAACTTGTTTAATTTCATTTGATTTGATTATCTGATTTTTATCATACAATTTGAGATGTTTTATTGATGTGTATTTTCTCTTGCATTTTATTGCTGTAGTTGATTTGTTTCATGTATTTGTGTGGCCTATGCCGGGGTTTTTGTCCCGTAGAAGGTTTCCCTAGCATGGCCTTGTTGTGTGCGTAATATATTTATTTGTTCTTCCCGATTATGTCTCACGTCCAAACACATACAAGAACAGATTACACAACGTAGGAGTTCATTTGTGCCATCCTCATCTAGCCGACTGCCATCCAAATTCAAAAGTACCGCGAAACGTCCATCGTTTCGACTTGAAAGGAAGGTGGCTCTGCTTGCAGTTTTTTCCCAGAGTTGCCAACGGTAAGTATAGGGTAAGTCAACGTTTTCAGTGTTGACTTGATAGACCCTTAGGAACATTACTCGTATATTGTTTTTAACTATTTTGCATCGTCCTTTGGCCTACGCCTAGGATACGAATCGACGATTGCTCCATCTCATCGGATCTTGCTTATTTTTCCGTAGTAGGTACCTATATATGGTGCGGGTTTCTGGGACTTTGGCTTGCACTCTTCAAATGACCCAGTTTCTCGCAGTTCCAACATCGAGGGCGGCTCTTTCCACGCTTTTCCAGATTTTCTTTCTTCAATATTTCCTTAATTGTGGACTGCAAATTGGTTTCAAATATCTCTTTAAAAATTTGTTAAACGTTTTCCTTTGCAAATTTACGGATCTAGGGACTTTCCTTACAGCTGTTTGTGTCCTTCCCAAAAATGTCACCATTGTTCAGATACCTATCCAGAAATGTCTTCGATGCTTAAGATTATGTTTATAAACCTCGATAGGCAATTTCGTCTGCAACAAAAACTTAAAAGTGGAAGCTGAAATGGCCACAGTCAGCATTCCTGGTAAAACAAGCCAAACGAAATCCATTTACATTTTCCTGAAGATATTATCTGGTACTACTTTGACGTTGTTACATACACGGCAGTTAAGTTTCTTTATTCAGACCATGAATCTTAGCTTAAAGCGAGTTATAGAGGTCTCTCCACTGTGGCTCCTGCTATTAAGGGCATTGGAGATATTCTTAGACACAAGCGCCAGCTCAAAACTCTCCCAATACTTGCGCACTAAGAGAATTACGTACCTTTTTCTGTCGCCATCCGATTCCGTGTAAAAGTAGAAGTGCTTCTGGCTAGGATCAGATGGAATAATCTCAAAGGCATGCTTCTTAGCCCCCGCCGTAGTCTGTTGCACTCGATAACCATGAAGGCAAGCGACACCTGGAACAACTCGTTGAGACACCATCAATTAAAGAATAAAACTCGTACCAAATGCACTTTTTGAAGTGAGATCCTGATAAAAGTACAGACACGCGTCCTTTAGCACGCAATACCTCTTACTCCAAGACTTCCACTGATTGCCCAACTTGACTAGATAACCAAAACAATCCGGTTTTTGAATCGCATTACACGCCAGATGAAGATTCTTCCTAGTCTGCTCCAACCACAAGTCGGTCATCTGCGATTTTTCGACGGCGTGGGAGAGTACCTCGATCCATTTCGCGACGCCCTGATCGGATTCAGCGGCTAAATGTAAAGTTGGCGAGCCGGATCTTTTCAAATCGAACCGAAATGGACGAGCGGGAACACCGGAGCTCGAATTGTCCACTTTGCAAATGTCAAAGTTGGCCAACATCAGCGCGCCGACGGGCTGCTTTTCCTACGAGTTGCTGTTGGATAATGGAGAGGTTCACGGATTACTTACGATATCGTTTTTGTAAATGTACAAGCAGTTATCCTTTTTCAGCACAAACCATCGTCTCACCCATGTGGTCGTCGAGCTTTCATTGATATACCCGCCCAATTTCCATAGGTATCCCGCAAAAAGCGGAATTTCGATAGGAACTTCTCCAGGAGCCGGACTCAAAACTCCACAAGTGCGTGCGACCTGAAACCATTACATTAGTTTATCGTCCAAATATCAGGATCTTGGCTTACTTCTAAAGTCAGAATGTCACTACCCGCATGCGCTATCTTGACCACCTCGGAATGGCTCTTATCAATTACGCTAATGTGATTTACGGACAGAACGATATCTCCGACTTCCAATCCTGAGCTTTCGGCGGGAGTATCAGGTTCAATCGCGGAAACCACCACCGGTTTCGAGCCGTGTATTCGAAAACCGAATTCGCCAGATTGCCGTTGCACCACTACCGTCTTGTCCGTTTCTTAAACGACAAATTGGGGTCATCCGGGAACAGCAATGACAAAACTTACCGAACGACTTTGACGCTTGGCGCTTGTACATTTCAAGGCATGACTTTCGATGGACCATTCGATGTGTTACGGCCTGATACTTCTTCTTAAACTCCTGTTCGGATTCTGTACTCCCCGCACTCAATACTGAATCTCTTCTTTGAAGATCTTCCTCTGTTGGAAATTAACGAGTTAACTACAAAGTCAAATCGTGAGGAAATCGCCCTCTTCCACTACTGGTTTTTCGGATGACAACATCAAAACGAGATCAGTTAGAAGAAAAAGAAAAGAAAATAGCAACTCCCTCCCGAAAATACGGGATTTGTATTGATTAAGAAAGCACGATTTCTACAAGAGTTGCGTTTAGAAAAAGAAGCGTCGTTTCGTAGTTGGAATCCAGCGAAGTATTTAAGTAAAAATCTGGTGGGAGAACGTAATTCTTACTGAAACCTCTATGCCGGTCGAGCGCTACTTTTTTCGATTACGTATTGATTTATTAGTCGAACCGTGGCGTGGATGCAAATTCACATATTATTGAGGGCCCAATAGATTGCGTAAAACTTGGTTATTAATTACAAGTTCGAATCGAAAGCCGTGTGGGAGAATGGTTGTCCTCGTAGCCGAAGACAGTGCCGAACAAATACGCTTCTCTTTAAAAACGCTCTATATGTGGAGAAGAAGAGGGTTAGAGAGGAAGGTACACCAAAAAAGTGGCAAGGGAGTTTCTTCTACACACGAATAAATAGGGGTTACCTCCTGCTGTTTCTGGCTTAATCCAAGTCTGCAACTCCTCACGGTCGTCGATATAAATCCAATAACCTTCAACGTAAGGCACATTGTAAACACCTAAATCATCTTCATCTTCAGGTGCCGCTGGAAGTACACTTGGACTTGAATCTGCCGCGCGAAGTCCCTCTACCCCGCTATCCGTCGAGCGAGCCATCGGCCGAAGCTTTACTCGTTCGCCCTCCTCCTTTCCGGCACGTTCCTCCGACTACAAACGTTTACGTATGGTCCAAGAGTGCACTCACAAACCCAACACTCACCTTTGCTCTGACGTCCTGCCGATATCTATAGTGTTTCCTCTCGCCTTGCGATCTCTCCTCGGACCTAAACCTCTTTTCGAACTTCTTGAACAGACGCCCTTGCTTAACGCGAGGCGAATCCGCGAAACTTGCCGGAGGTTGAACGATATCAGCCGGATGGCAGCTGCCACTATCTCTTCTTTTTGCCGGATCTTCAGTTGTCACAATGTCCACTTCTTTACCGCAATGAAGACAATGGACGTGGTGTTCTGTAAGCGCCATATGACTACTAGGATCACTGTAAAAAACACTATCACTCCCTGGACTAACTGAGCGAAGCGATTCGGCACTTAACGCTTTTAAACGAACAGATTCGGGACTAGTTTTAGGACTACGCTTTTTTTTACTTGGCGATTCAATTGGACTAATGCTGCAAACCAAATCGAGTTACCACCGGCTTGAAAAAAACCTCAGCGTGCATACCTACGGGGACTTAACCTATTCTTATTGTAACCTTCGGCCAAACCCGCCTGCATCGACGAACGCCGCCTCGACAAGGTGCTCGGCAAGCTCGACGGCTGCTCCTCGGCGCTCTCGCTCTTTCGCCTGGTCCTCGAGCCGTTAGGAGACCGCGGAATGGACTTCCTCCGGTTATTGTCTTTAAACTTCCTACTTCTACGCGGAGACACCTGCGTCAGGTTGGCCTGATCGCCGCACACCCCGCTGCTCGACTCGTCCGAGGTGATGGGCACCTTCTTCTCCTGTCCTTCGAAGTCTTTCGTAAATTGGTCGGTGCTTCGTACTGACGACGGAGATTTCTTTTGCTGATGATTCTTACGATGAGTTTGTAGCGGACTTCTCGTCCGAACTTTTGTGCGTTTCTGTTTATCGATCGTTTTAAGAAAGTCTTTAGGATGCGAAACTACTTCGTCCGATTTTTTGGTTTGCTTTAGAATCGTTTTCTGCTTCGTCGTAATTTCAGCGTCCTTATGTTTATCTATATCTAAAGTAAACGTTTTCTTCCGCCGCTTCTTTTCGTCTTCCGTCCAGTCTAGTCGTTCCGATTTGGTTGACTTTCTGGTTCGGCTATAAGAAAGCTTTGTTATTGCTAAGGAGGTGGCTGGAGGTTGCTTACTCGTCTTCCAGTGGCGATTCGTAGTAGCCGGAAGAAGAATAGTGTGCGCTACGTTCGTCTTCAGATATGGAGGGCACATGTCTGGATGAAGGCACTGACGGTTTTGGAGGCAAGTCGGGACACGATCCGTTGATGCTGTAGCTACCCGAGGACGAACTGCTGCCGGATGGTGACGAACGGCCGTGGTGCGCGATACGGACCGGGGAGCTGGCGACGTCGCTTGCTTCTTCGGGAATTCCTAGTGGCGTAAATGAAGGAACAACCATGTCGTCGCCGAGGAGATCGTTCTTCCCCAATCCGTACATTGAGGATACGCTTTCAAATGAGCTTCCTTCCTGGGTGGTGTGCGTGGGTTTTTCTTTAACATCCTGCAACGCAACATGCAACTAGTGTCAACCACCTACCTACTTACAACTGTAGATCCGTTTTTCTTTGAGCTGTCCGTTCCGGAATTGGCAGTGATATAGTCGTCAGTGGTTGTGGTGCTTTCTGAAACGTCTGTATTCGTTTTTCCGGAATCAGTACGAGCGAGTAGTAAATCGGGAACTACAGCCGGTTGTGGGGACTCGGCCGGAGGTTCGGGTGTTCGCCGACGTCTTGGTGATGGACCGGTGCGCGGTGTCAAATACTGTTGACTGCTCGATTCGGGTTTACTTAATGATATGCTAGGGAGTTCAGAGCCTGATCGTGAGCCTTGAATCTGAAAATCCAAGTTGCCTAATGTACTCACGACACAAAACACTTACTTGTTCGGGAGATTCCTCTTCTAAAGCTTCTGTGTCCATTGAGGACCGTTGTTGGTGTTGCATGAGCAACAGGTGCTTTCTCCTAGATGAAGGTGTAAGTAATGACGTTGATACATGAGATGGGGTTGCTAGAGAAACCATTTCCGAGCTGCTGAGTGCCGTCCCATTATCCGTACCAGAATCAACCTGCAATACCGTTGCTTGAGATTCATTCCATATTCCATCCGAATGATCTCTAAAACAAGTTTCGCGGGCATTTTCGTTAAATTACCCAAACCTCATACCTAACGTCGTTCGCCAAAGAATCAGAAGAGGCAAACGGCGAACACCTATGTAGCATCAAGGACAATGACGGAACCACGCCTTCTTCCAAAGATACACTGTCGCTTTTTCGCATCCTCATCTCCTGCTCTAAAATATCATCGCTGGTAGACGATCCACTCCTTCTCAGATACCTCCCGCGGTAAATCAAATTCTCGTGAAACTCCTCATCGAGTGAGTCCTGCGGCCGGAAACCGTTGTCATCGAACGACCCAGACATTGAGGAAAACGCGTTTTCGTCAAAGCTCTTAAATATCCCCTCATTCTTAATCGGCGAATCTTGGAAGTACGGCGTGAAACTTCGAGTTTCCTGTTCGACCATGATGTGCTCGTGACTGGCGGACGTGATGCGTTTTTCGAACGACCCCTCTTCGTCTAGCTTACTAAATCTTCGATGATCTAAAAGAATTTCGCCGTCCGATACAGTTTTAATCAGACGCTTTTTCTTAACTTCAGCGGGTGAAAAAGGCAATTGAGGTTCGAAATCTATAATAATCTCTTTGGGAATTTTAGATTCAAATTGTTCATACTCCTCGGTTTCATGATCTGAATGAGATGAAGAAGATGAATCAGTATCGGGCAACTTTAATTCGGGCGGGGGTGATTTTAATACGAAAGGTGATCGGGGAGGTTCGTCTGACTGTGTTCGTTGCAAGGGTTCGTGGTTAATGTCATTCGGGATTATTTCGGGGCCAAAAGTGATTGCGGAAAATCTACCTCCTGCTTCTGAATACGACTTCATCAATTTTCTTCCGTTTACCAGCATTCCGTTAGTTTGTGCGCCTTGCGATACCATTTTAACCTATCCAAGGGTGAGAGCATGAATAAATTAGGTAAGTTAACGACCTCTTACCCTGTGTATCGTCCTTGGGCTCAAATTAAGTTGGCCCGGAGGCAAGGGTTTCCGTCCTAAACAAACTTCAGTCTGTGTCGCTTGGGTTTTCATCGACGCAGGTCCCCTTTTAAACTTTTCTGTTAAGAGAAAGAAAAATAGTGAGAAAAGTACGTAGTGATGAGAGATGAAATTGTGTAAAAAGGTTTCAGCGAAACGCGAAGTTTCGTGATGCGCTTTAGTAAATGGAATTTGTAATTACCGCAGAAAGTAGACCATGTCGTTTATGTAAAATTTAACTGACTCTGACTCTCGTGTTTACGCTATACTTGCGATAACAACTCAATTGGGCCAATTTACCACCCTTTACGTCCTAACTTTAGCTCTGACCCTTATCTATGATAGAAAAAAACTATCAGATCAATATTTATCATTGCGTTTCTTTGTTTTGAAAATTCTTTATACCGCCGGTTTTCTCAAGCATCTGGATTTCTAGGTATTTCATCACTAGATCTGTCCTGTGGCGAGTCACTTGGCGTATAAAAACTCATTCAGTGATAGACATAAAACTGCCTTGATTATAAGGTCCTATGTTTTTTCGGGCTGCACCACGGCCGTCGTACACAAAAAGGATCCCAGTTGTAGAAATAATAAAAAAGTACAGGGTGTTCCATTTTCGATTATTTTATAGGGTATATCTGTGATTTTTAGTGCAATAAAAAAAGTAGTATAGGCGTCATATGCTCTTTTTGAGTCATACTTAAGATGGTAAATTCAAAATTTGAAAAAAGCTTACTTAAGACATACCGGGAAAAATAAAAAAATTATCAGTTTCACAATAACCCTATTTTTTTTTGGTTAAGAGAGATAAAGAAAGATGTTTATTGCAAAAGTTTCTTTATAATGACTGTTAAGTAATCTGCCGTTTTTCAAGATAAGTATACGTGGTCAGGTAAAAAAGTTATCAACCCAAACCTTTCTTTTTAAACGGAACACCCTGTATATTTTATTCTAAACATATTATATTAAACTCTGTTTTTAAAAATACATGATTAAATATTAGTTAAAGAGATTCAAAAAAGATTTTAAAAAAGGTCCCAAATCTTTTTGAATTTTTATGTATTTTTGTAATTATTTTTAAAATATTTTTTGATTTTTTTTTAAATCGCTAGAATCTTTTTTTTAGTATTATCTCTAGTGCGCTATATTTTTGAACAGAAAATTTTATTTGCTATCTTTTCAGATGGGCAACGACTTTTGTTTTTATATACATTACCATGAGCAACTATTTTTGGTTCTTGGCCTATTACCAACTCATCTCTAAAGTTATGGGTTATAATCGATATTAAAGAAGTTGCGGAAACACATTGTCGAAGATTCTAATCCTTTCGAAAGTGTAGTTAGTTTTGCAGTATTTCAGGTTTTGATGACCTTTTATCGAGATAAGAAGCTTTGGGTAATGCGAAAATTGCTTACCAATATGTTGGAGTATAGGTGAAAGTCAAGCAGGCTAAAGAGCCTATCATGCCACTTTGTCCAATAAAAATAGGATTTTGCTGATGGTTTATTCCTGGAAAGTTAGGCGCCGTTCCATTTTTATTTATTTATTTATTCATTCATTCATTCATTCATTCATTTATTTATTTATTTATTTGTTTCTTCGTTGGTTTATTTATTTATTTACCATTATTTACCGAAGGCCTTAAGCTGTTCTATACTACTCCGATGTATTTACCTTACAAATTAGGAAAACTGTACAAAAAACTAATTCGAAGTAGTCGGCAGGAATGCCACAAATTAAAAACTCCTACCCCAGCCCAGGTTCGAACACCCGAGCTCCGGCTATGTCGCCCAACACTCTACCACTGAGAATCGTTATTTTCAATGTTGAAAACCCCCGGTACTAAATTTCGTCGAAGTAGGAAATTCTTACAACGACCAACAAATCCTTTTAAAGGTATGACGAAAATCGTAAAAATAAAAAATATAAGAAGTACAACCACTCTCGTTCTTCTACAGGATCGGTTAGCAAAAGACCAAAGAAAGGAAATTCGATAAAAAAATGTTGAAATACAGAAAGATACTTTGCGTGACCTCTAGTGGCAGACTAATGAACTACGAAGTGAACGAAGAGTATTTGAAACGATATTTAAATGCCGAAAATGTGCAATGAAAACGGAAAGCGGAAAAAAAACGTTACACGGCGAAGAAACCAGTGGGTAACTGGACGATATCCCCATATCTCTCATGTTTGGGAAAGGATAGATGTATCTTGGTTCCGTAGTCCTCTCTCGAAAATTCTCATCATACGTTTTTGGGAAAAAAACGTAGTACCGAGGGGTCTGGGGGGTATGGAATACCCCACAGTATACGAAGATTCAATTGCCTTTTTCCGAACACTGTTACGAGAGTGTTAGAATAATAGAGAAAGAACTATCTAGTCCTCCTTTGGCAAGGGTGTTGGAAGGGGGGATTCCGTACCCTCTAAAACTACGTTATTCTGTCAAGTTTACCCCTGAAATCTTTCATAATTGTTTTTGAGAAAGAACGTAGTACTGGGGGGGGGGGTCTTGGTGCCGGATGGTACCCCCCTTTATACGAAGATTGTATCTTGGTTCTAAATTTTGTGGTCTTTTCTCAAAAATTATCATGAAACGTTTTTGGGGAAGAAGGTAGTACCGGTAGTTCTGGGGGGTATGAATCACACCTTGGGGTAGGAATCTATTAAAAATTCTTATATTGGCCAAATTTGGTATCTGGGCGATTTCAACATTGAAAACAACGAATCAAAAATAGGTTTTTGAAAACTCGAAGAAAGGAGCTCCAACTGTCTTTTGGACCGAATTTCAAAAAATTGACTGGGTACACCCCTTAACCTTAATTTCGAGGAGTTTTTGTACACGGCTTTTCAAAAGAAAGGTTTACGTCGCATTCGCCAAGAACGAGTATATTGCCGAGAAAAAATCAAAAGGAACACGGAAATCTTGCAACTTTTGGGAGTATGCTAGCAAAGGGCATGAGGGAGGAAGGAAGTGATTACAAGGAAAGAGGAAAAAGAAGGTCTCATGGAAAAGTTCGCAAATACATAAAATGCCAGAAAACAAAGACAGCGGGAGATTTGGGAGTTGACAAAACAAAAAACAAGGTACGAAGGTATCAAAGCAGAAAAGAGCCCGAAACCGTATAAATCGTGGGAATTCAGAAAGCGATTACTGGAAATTGATAAACAGGCAAAGGGGAAAGTATAAAAATATGGGGAAAAATAGAAATAGATTATTGGAAGAAGAACTTTATCAAGGTGCTACAAGGAAAATAGAAGAGTATTGAAGTCATAGAGGAAGAAAAAGGCAAAGGGGGAGAAGAATAGGAAGAGAAAAGTATCAATACAAGAGAAGGAAAGACGACACTGCGTCCATTGTAATTACTAATGAAAAAATGGCTCTTTGATGGTAGAAAAAACTTCATTTAACTGGTGACTTGGATAACCTTAAGGAACAAAAACGCTCGAACGGCCACACTCCGACTAGCTTCTTTGTATACTTCACTCTTTAATTAGACATTCGCTTTAAATGGCGTAATAAAAATCTCTTAGAGCACTCAACTAACTTTCTTCTAAAAAACTGCGCAACTGGCAAAACGGCCTTCACCATCAAGAAAATCACAATTAATGTCCGGTTCACGTATTTGAAACCGTTCTCTTTCCTTAGCTTACGCAGCGATAACGCTCTTATCGCAATGACCGGAGATAACGAGTGAATGTACAAAACATTGTCTGAATAATATAATAAACAAATTAAAGCGCGATTTTTTAAACAAAATTACACATGACTAATTAAACAAATAATTCCAAATAAAGTTAACGACTTCAAATTCGAAGAATATGATCATCAGTAGTGAGACCAACAGTTAACGTCCAAAATAAATAAAGATAAGTACATAGAGAGTGGCCCAACATTACAGTGGTGGCTGATACAGAACCAACAAAAGAACTCGAAACTTATTGAAAGAATAGGAGAAAATCAGGAATTAACGAGTGAACAAGCTGATAGCGGAGTGGATGCCCAAAAATCTCAGGCAGAGACTGAAAATTATAAATACAAATAATAGCGAGATCAATTATGTGAAAATGAGTAGCTCGAAAGATAGAGGAAAGAAGAAAATACAGGTGGCATAAACTATCAGAGACGGAGAAAAAGCGAATGAAATATTAGACGAAGAGAAAAGCAAAGAGTATTGAATAACAAATAAAGAACAGAGGGGGGACATGAAGACGAAGATGGACACAACGAGGAAAGAGGTGACTGTATTGTGGTGGTTCTGCTCACAAAGGAAAAATATGTGCCTAATTAGTGCCAATGGAGAGATATGGTAATCAACAGAAGAAATTCATAGGGTACTTGTCCATTTAGGTAGTGCCAGTCAGGCTCGTTTTTTAGGATATGGTCAAATATGAAAACCTGAGCGTTCTAAAAGCTCTGAACTGTGCGGCTTGTTTACAGATATAACTGAAATAGGGAAAATGATATCCAGCAAATTGAATGTGCGCTAGGCGAAAGTTACAAAAAGAGCCACTAATTAAAATCGATTCAACTGCGTGGGGTGAACAGACTTTCGTAATTTCGATTATGATTTCCGACTAACAATTTAATGTTCCTAATAAACTGCCGATTAGGTTCGCGATTTATGCCCGACCATTAATACTCGAACTACGAGATTAAATCCCGAAGCTGGTAATCCGATTACACTTCCCATCTGCCTGACATTTGCGGTCGGATAATCATAAATCAATTTTTTACATACGCACGCACGTTATTGATGTTGTTTTAAGTAGTTTTCGAAAGCGAACGGCGCAATTTTAATTAGCCGAAGTTGTGATGGGAGAAAGAAGTAAGTCGATGCTTTAGTTGTAATTACGCGTCGGTGTAAAAGGGAGGATCAAATTAACGGTCATGTGATTGCTACGCAACCCGAGTGACTCTTTGAAATATAATCCTGATTATTACCTTAACAGGAACGAAAAGCGCCGGAGATTACTTACAGGATTACATCAGCAGTTATTATGAGATGTAGCCCCTCTTTTGTTTCTTTATCTGAATTTTGGATATTTATTTAGCTGTAGCTGTAAGGGGCATTTACATAAAACTTTTAGTCATCGCTTTCCCGTAGGAGTTACTAACGTCGATCATTTTTCATTATAAACTAAGCAAAGCTAACAAAAGGGTGGGAACTGTTTCGAGTGCCTACCATGCTTAATGCGAACGACTGATGAATTCCAACTGTACATTCACTTCAATGTTTGTATACAATTATAAACTTAGACGTTTGTGATGATTTTGTTTAACTTCCATCCTAGGGGGTGCAATAACTTTCCTCTCATTCGCGCAAATGAATAAAGTCGGAGATAATTTTTGCGCAAAGTTTTATAGACAGAGTTTCAAACTTCGAAAGTTGTCCATTAGTATACGTTAAAGACAAATTGAAGGCGTTTAAAAGTGAAAAAAGTTAGTTTTACACGAATGGGGGCCAATGAAAGCGTATGCGTGGGAACTCTGCTTTGTGACAGTAAAGCTGGCAGTAACCTAAATTTATTAAACTCCCTCGAAATTATTGAGCTATCCGCTCTAATCCCCAAGGCTGGTTGTCACTTATGAACGCGATAAACAAGATGCATAGAGATCTTAATGAAAATATTTTCAGGCACCTTTTTCTTCCTGAACATGTACAACTTAATGAAGGGCTCGTGTATGATCATACGCGGAAAGCATATGACCTACATTTACTTCGGCACGAACTTGTCATGCATACTATACACAAAATTTGCTTTTTAATACGTAAACAGAATACTTCTGCCTTTTAAGTCACCGAACACATCAAAAGTAGACACAACGAGTCTTGGTGAACAATTCCAGGCGATCATTTAGGGCGCACGTGTTTAAAATACAGAAAACTCTTCTCGGTACTTGCTTATGTCGGTCACGTTTTGCGGTACGTACCGTGTAACAACTGTCTTTATGTGATTCTAAGAAAATTAATTTAGTCACCGGCGTTTTGTGTAAATATTGGATCGTGTAAATTAAGACACAATGACGTAGAATTTAAGGATAAATAGGCGAAGAAATGTGCTTCGAGCCAACAATTCAATTGGTGTGCGTCTAGAACTAAACAAATCCTTTATTGCATTTGACATGAATAGGACCACGTAATGCCGCGTTTACACCACGCGGCCACTAAGTAGGTTAATAGTTGTTCAGTTTCGTTCGAACTAGTCAGAAATGTCCATGAGGGCATAAATAAAGTGGTTTTATCACTGAATCTTGTGATGTGCTTCAGGAACAGTTGGAAAAGGAGACCATTTCGGTTTTTTTGAGTATGGGGGCGCCCACTAACTACTCTTGAAGCCAGCGGATTACTGGTGCGGTATTTTTCCACTGAACTGGATCGTAAACTGGATTGGCCTACTTACTGATCTCGTGGAAACGCGGCATTTGAGCTAGAAATGTTGTAATAAGTGGTAATCAACGCTGCGAACTGAGATGTAGGATGGAAAAAGTTCAATGATCGGTTTGTTACCAATTCTCTGCTTCGGTGCAGAAAGAAACACTCGGTTTGGAACAGAGAATGAACATAGTTCATCTCTAATTGTAGAAAGGTGAATAAAATGACAAAAAAAAGTCTTCGGGCAGTAGGTACATACCTGAAATGATGAACGCTTCGTTTGGTGATGGCTGCTGAGTGATTGGTGGAAATTCGCCTGACCTTTTAAAACCTAAAAGTGGCAGCAATCTTTCTTGACTTCGTGACATTTTGTTGGTGTAGCTGTGTGATGAACCTAGTGTTGCTGTTGCGTCATCAAACGATGTGAGAGTATGTGATCTTGCAAAACTGACATGCTTGGGCCTGAAATACAAGAAATACACATTATAAAAGTTGGCTTCAAAAAAAAAATCTCGGCAGGAACAGGAGAATACCAAGCGCCAGAGTAACAACCACGCCACTTTTTACCAGAATCAGGTACTCCTTAAAATTTTCAAACGAAACAAATGCGGCTGACGAGTATGCGGCCGTACAGAGCTGCTCTGACTGTTGTGGGTTGTGAGTATCATCTTCCATTTGGGTTGCCTCCCAAACCGAAAAAATATGGGAAAAAAGAAAACAGGATTAAGTAAAGTTCTACATAGGGTCGTTTAACCGTAAATGGTAGATAGGGTTTGTTGCTATCTTCGCATATAAGGGGAGGTATTCGTCATTGGTCACACTATATTGTTGTTTTGACGTAATAATTTTGATTGTGGGAAAATTATCCCCGGAGAGCTCGCGGGGCAAATTTTCCCCCGGAATATTGTAACAGGATGTCGCTTTAGAATTAAAAAAGTAATTATTCGAATTAATATTTTGGTGAGGATAAATCACACCGTACCGCTTCATAGTGAACTTGAACAAAGATATGTCTGTCGATACCGAATCATATTAAGAAACGTATTGCGGTAAGCGAGCGCCGTTTCCATGATTTCTGAGGACCTAAAAGTGTCTTTTTGTTGTGAGAAAAATCGAACACTTGACAGAAACTCGAAGAGGAATTTTCAGTGTGCCAATTTGTGTAGGAGAGATTTTATTCAGCGTATGTGGGAAGATTCGTGGTGCCATCTAGAAAACATATTAAATAGCGAGAACTCCTAAAATTCGCCAAATTGCTAGTTACCCGTAATTTTATACGACTGCAGATGGACTTCTTTAGCGGTCTAATACTCGTAGTAGCAAGGCCATTTAAATTTGGCGCAAAGTTATAATTCACATACTAAGGCGAAAGTAAAAATCAATTTATTGCGAAGTGACAGTTTTACACCTCGGGAACTATACAGGGTGGTGACTTGCGTAACGCATCATAGGGATTTCAATGTAAAATTCATAACATGCGATAATTGGCTCCCCAAATTATTTTAGAGCAAAAATGTATTAGTTTTTTGTAGAAAATTTTTTTTTACGCCATTTAACCGTATTAGTTTTCAATTTTTTTCATGTAAAGACGGAAAATTGGAAAAATAAAACCCGCATTTTTTTCAATAATCTGCGATGCCATGGAATTTTCTAAAACAAAAAGATATCCAGTTATCAATTTATTAGCAGCAGCTCGAAATGAATTTTATGATCGACTTGGTTACTGTATTGCAGTTAATGGTAACTTATTCGAACATTTATTGTAAATTGTTATATTAGGAAACCGTTTTTAGTAATTTGGTCTTTCTTTATGTTGAATTCGCTGTTCTAAATATAATAATTTTTGATAGAATTTGATTGGTTTTATAGCAAACATTCCATGGCATGACGGATATTGGCGTAGTTTTTGTATTATAAAATTCCATGGCATCACAGATTATTGAAAAAGATGCGGGTTTTATTTTTCCAATTTTCCGTCTTTATTATGTAAAAAATTGAAAACTAATACGGTTGATTGACGCAAAAAAAATTTTCTACAGAAAACCTTAATACATTTTTGCTCTAAAATAATTTGGGGAGCCAATAATCGCGTTATGAATTTTACATTGAAATCCCTATGATACGTTACGCAAGTCACCACCCTGTATAGAAATAAAGCTTTGTGATTAACGGCATACGAGAAAGATTCTAAAGACAATTGATTTACTCGCATCAAAACCTATCAATAAATTAGACAAAATTGAATGCCAGTACAGTTCAATCAAGCCAGAGCATTAGATTTTGAATATCAACTTTTAGAAGGAAATAAGAGACCAAACCTTCGCAATGTAAGGGTGTACAGCTTTTTTTTATTGAGTTTATTGAGTTAGCCGTGGGTAAATTAAAAAATTTGCTGTGGATAGCCGAGTTTATCACCTGCACAACTGCGCATGTGCGATTCTGTCTTTCTATGCCTAAAAATATGTGTACAAAATTTGGTTCCCATCGATTCAGCCGACTGATCGACAGACTGATCGACATAATTGAGATTTTTTTTAATTGCCTGGTGCTTCAAAATGTGTATTTCCGTCAAAAAAGTGGGGAGATGGGGTTGCTTTTTTATCCCAATGCACCTTACTAGTGCGGGTGGTAATAATTGTCATATTAAAATCTTTTCCAGTGCCGTAGGGGTTCAATTTTATTTTATGGGAGTGAGCTCTCCAAACCCTTGTAAATGTAACTAAACCCGTACCAATATCCACAGCCAAAGAAACACTCCCACAGCTAAATTCGCCGTCAAAAGATTCACCTCCATAATATTAAACCTACAGCTTTCTTGGAGCTTGATTTTCCGCGCGGTGAATATTCCGCTCGTGAATCTTCCGGTGGTGAATTTGACGGAAACGAATATTTTGGGTGCGTCATTTACTTCCAGGGGGCGAATCTTTCGTAGCCAAAGCGGAGCTAGGAAACGTAGTGCTTGCCGCACTATCTCCCTGATATTTGTTTTAGATACGACTGGGGTGGTCCATACACCTTTACCCCGTAAAACGTCGATAGATATACTAATACAGAGCTATTTTTTATTTTATCAATCTAGGTTTCGTACCCCTTGCTTCAGGTGATTTTGGAAGACTGGTCTTTGGGTTTCAAATATGTGTCTATTTTTTGTTGTATTATGTCCCAGAATAGGAAGAAGTATCTCGAAACCCGGAAAGGGTGCCGTTTACATTTTTTAAGAGAATGGGAATATGAGATAGTTGGGTCCAACAATATACAGTTTCTTCCAAGCGTTCCCCGTCCTCGGACGTCTCAAGTGGTCATTTCGATATTCCTTCAAGAGAACGACACCCAGGCGTCACATTTGGTGTGCACCCGGGTGTGAAATGTGAATGTTACTCCCTTATTACAGGTCCTTTCTATTATTATCTTAAAATCGGTTCCGCTCGCTAGTTGAGCCTCTCTTTCTCTGGTTACTACAACCTTTGGACCCTTCTTTTGCTCTCCTGGGGACCACTACAATTACAAAATGCTCGTCGTTGCTTTCTATGACTTTTCTACTGCTTTTTTCTATCTAGTCTGGCTCCTAGTATGTCCTACGCCTTTCCTAGCTGGATCTCAATTTCTCCGACACGCAAGCAGGCAGTGGCCTCAGCATCGAACCTTGTGGTACCCCTCCCTTGATCCGCAGCATAAATTTTGGTCCTGATATTCTGTTCGTGAGGTAGCTATGAACTAACCTAATCAGGTGTAGTGGTACCTTCTGGTGTTCCATTGCCTGGACGATAACCTGAGCAGGACCGAATTGAAAGCATTGCGTACATCTAGAGGAACCACCACAGCTACTACCCTGGTCCTGCTAGTCATCGCTTCCGCTAGCAAGTGGATGCGTCGAAGCGCTTCCCTTGTTCCACTACCTTTGCGAACACCATATTGCTCCGGGGACAGCTTAACCTCTTCTTCTAACCTGCCAGAAATAATCCTTTCAAATACCTTCCCTAAACGACTAAGTAGCGCTATAGGTCTTACTGTCCTCGGTCCCTTCTTTGGTATTAGGAATATATTTTCCCTCTTCTATATTTCAGGGTATTTCTCTGTACTGGGCCCGACGCGTTTCGTTTTGGCATTTTTTGGCGCCTGTTTAATCTCTTGGTTTCTATACTATGTCTTCAGGTCCAGACGTTGTGTCCTGCCGTCTATCGTCCAGGTAATATAATCCCCTCCTACTTTGTTCTACCTGCCTTATGGCATTCTTGAATTTCTGGCACGACATGGTCCACATGGAGTGACCTTCTATAGCATTTTTTTGTTATTTTGACATTTATCCCGGAGTTGTTCTACTTCTCCGCAGTTTAAGCATTGCTTTCTCCCAGGTGTACCTTTTGCGCATCTGTAGCTCTCGTCCTGAATCTCCCAGTAGTAGGTATTACTACCCTCCTGTTCAATCTGCAGGGGGCTACTCCCACCCAAATACGCAGAAGTGTGTCTAATTTTACCGCTGCCATTTTATCTGCATAAAACGTTACTACTCTACTATGTCCTTCCGTCGCCTTCAAGGGTTTAATTTCCACCTTTCCCGTTCCATCCAAGACCCTTTGCACCGTCTCCTCCACATCTTTGTTTTGTATGAACTGGCCTATATCTCCGGGTCTCTCACCACCATTTCCTCTGACGGTCAGTTTGACCTCCGTCATTTCCCTACCCATCATCTCCCTTGTCTAGGTCACATCGGTCTTTCCCTCGTTGAGTGTGATCTTTTGGTGGCCTTCTTTGGTTCTCTGAATAGCCCTGACCGAATGAACATTACACCGAAGCAGTAGTACTCCCAAATGTTGATGGTGTAACCTACAGATTATGTGTTGTTGGTACATTTTTAGGTGTAGCTGACGGGATGAGAAGTGCCAGTATGTTGGTGAAGCTATCAATAGATTTACAACATTCGGCGCCCAACGTGGGGCCCGAACCTACGACTCTGACTCTGCTATGCATATATTTCGAGACTTTCGCAAGGAGATAACTACGCCTTTTTAGTTCAAAATGATTCAAATTTTCCACGTAACACCGTAGACCGTTTCCCTTGCAAGGACTTCATATCATAAGAAAGACTATCGCACCACCTGATTCCGCATTTATTTAGCATAGGGGTTGAAATCTCACGCTTTGTATTTTTCCACGGTGCACAAAAAAAGTAGGTATATGCCAAAAATCTCAGCGGTCGTCAAATATGTGCACTGTATGAATAAGTTATGAAACACGAAAATGAAAACGAAATAATAAAAGGAATTTTTTATGAAAATAAACCTCATCATAACATCAAAGGGAATGCAAATTAGAGATGTGTGCGTCAGTTACACGTACTAAAAATTTAATTGGACTCTTAACATGTATGAAAATTAATAATGTTGCTCGCGAGTTACCTGGTCACTGGCGGAGGCGGAGGTGGTATCGGCGACGGCGCCACACTGCAATGATCCAAAACGGAACGTGGCCTCTCCAAACGTACGGACTCGTCATCGGCCGGCATCCACGTGTACCTTCTGGGATCGACGCGAGGCTTACGCCGAAAGTACGAGCACTCCATCTCCTCGTCAAACGGATAGATCTCGGGAGGAGGCATTCCCCAGGGATATCTGGAAAGAATATTAGCAGTTGTGAGTTAGGGCTTTATTGTTTGTCCCCCAAGCCGAACAGTACCAGTATTTATAATTTAACGTATGCAAACACCCCTTTAGTGGAAAATTTACATACGGGTAACGGCCTCTTTTTCTTTGAAGACAAGTTTCTCTATTCGCCTACGCACAGCAATCGATCCATAGGATTCAATACGAAAGTGGTGTTACATTATGACAACAAATAAATTTTGTTCGAGACATTTCAATTTCTAACAATGTGCAATCGGCACCGTGAGCCCTGTAACGGATTTATGGACTGCTTCATAGTGAGCCACGTTAGGACAATCAATATTCGAATGACGTTGGTTCCGAGTGTCCAGTGTTGAATATTTTATGTACATCCAACAGCGTTGCATATGTTACGTACAGTAGATAACAAATGCAATTGCTCGCATGAAGGGTACGTGGGGGAAGGGGGTTACGATTCGGACAATGGCGTTTCGTACGTAGGCTGCAGGAAAGCTTTCCGGAATCTATAGTAGGCACGTCAAATTACTTACTCGGATCAGTTGTCACATTTTACAAGCTGTCGTAACGCGCTCGAAAATGCAGGAATGTCTTGATTCAGAATTCAATGTAACACAATGGACCAAAATTCGTTTTTATTGCAAGCTTTCCGTATTTGCAAAGCTCAAACATTACTCGTCACTGAAAATGACTCCACAAAAACTACAACAAAAACACACTCGGCTTGCCTAAATTTCCCAAAACTTTAAATTAACCGAGTTCGTAAACACACAACATTTAAAAAGAACAGCTACACAGACCTTGAATATAAAATTAAATCCTAATTTTTCTCACACTATCTAAATTAAATCTACCCACAACAAATTCAATGTTCATCAAACCCCACAGACGAAAATAGAAAAAGATAATGTCACCTACTCTTCAAATACTTGCATGATCACGACATTAGGCGGATTTCTTTTTGTTGAATTCAGACGCTACCTGGTTAATACTTGGTCCTGATGATGATCTCCAGTAGACCTAATAAACGGGGTCGTGTCCTAGTTAAAAAGATTAAGTGCAACGGCACCTCTAACTTGGAATTATTTTTTCGAGATATGAAGATAACAGCAACTCAAAAGAAGCAGTCCGACGCCAGTAACCAAACACTTCTTTGCATGGACTTGACCTCCCTCGAAAGGAATACAACTTCCTGCAACACCTGGAGCACGCCCACGCGCCGACTGACAGTCTAACTTGGATTTATTTTTTCGAGATATGAAGATAACAGCAACTCAAAAGAAGCAGTCCGACGCCAGTAACCAAACACTTCTTTGCATGGACTTGACCTCCCTCGAAAGGAATACAACTTCCTGCAACACCTGGAGCAAGGCCACGCGCCGACTGACAGTCTGGACGCGCCCGCTCTTCGGTCACCACTATGCTCGACCACTCCCGACCTGGATCCCGCGTTTGCGGACCTCTACGCCGAGCGTATGAACTCCGTTAACTCCCCCCGCGCTCTTCCCACACTCTTAGCGGAAGAACAAGCAATGCCGCACCGAGCGTGCAAGCATTGAAGTCGCTGCTCTCGAGCTAAGGGTCGATGCGGGACAAGACCTACCAGTTTTAGTAAGATGCCATTTGGGCTTAGAAATTACCCCACACCTGGCTACATCCCGAAACGCCGAGCAACTCAATCCCTTTATCCAATCGTGCTCGTGGAATCGCCGATTCGTGCCTAGACTCGAAGGATCAGTCCAAACGTTAACTAAACTCCTAAAGAAAGACACCCTCTGGAAATGGACAGACCCCCAGAAGGACGAGGAAAATTGAAACAGCAGCAGCACCTGGTCACCGTATCGCAGCATCTCGATAGTTACTATTTGCCCTACAGGCAACTTACGACCGGACGCTCATAAAAGAAGTCTTCCTAGGATTACGAACCCCAAGGAAGATCATAAGCGACGAAGGCACATCGCATTCTGCCCCAACATCCACTAAGATCTTAAAGCGCAATTCGCGATATTAGTTAAAGAAGACCATTCCCAATTCCCAGGTGGCAGCTCGCGATGAACCCCGCGCCAAGTGTCAGACCACGAAAAACTCATAATTTTGTGCGTAAGGAAAAACGAGAACATATAGAATATATTAAGCACATAAACAGGCGATGTCAGGGAAACCTTCTTCGGGACAAAAACCCCGCCATAACTCACACTTGGTGAAAGGGTATTTCCTGATGGTGACGTAACTAAGAGGTGACCTTGTGTGTGTGTTGTTTTTTGTAAAAATTTAAAAATGATTTAATTGTAAATAAAAGTTTAATTGTGTACAGTTCAGGCTATGTCATGATAAAAAAAGATAATTGATAGATAGATTTTGAATTAATCAGAAATTGGATGATGTGTACCATTTTTTCAGAATTTGAGAAAATTTTAAGGTTTTAATTTTAGGCAAATTTCCGTGTTTGATTTTATCGCATAAGAGAATGGAGTGTTTTAGTTATTATTAGGGCGTTCTTAAAAATACACGAACAATCGAGAGAGGTGCCATTTGCTATTGTTATTTATGTTTCTGCCTAAACCTAAGCTATTTTTTAAGTGACAAATTATGTATTTCAAATCTCACAGAGAAGAGGAAGCAAAACGTTCATTTTTATATTTTCAAAATATGTCAAATTACCAATATCTCAAATTCACAAACTCCCAAAGTTACAAAAATGCCAAATTTTACAAAATTTCAAATTCCCAGAGTCTCAAATTCCAGAATCTTAATACTTTTATTTAAAATTTCTGTAATCTCAAAATTTCAAAATAAAAAAAACTTAAATTCTCAAGTTCAAAATCCTAAAATTTCTAGTCTCAACTTCCGTAATTTCACATTTCTAAAATGTAAAAACTACCAAAATTACAAAAATCCCAAGGTCACAATTTCTGGGGTTTAGAAATGCATTTGAGCTCCTGTTGAAGTAAAAAGTAATTCATTACCAAACGATGACCCCTCAACTGTTGACATAATGGTCTAAAATTTATTTTACCGAAGAAGTAATAATTTAAACTACGCCATTGTAAAAGCCTATTATAAAAAGAATGATGAAATTTTAACAGGGAATGGAGAGCGTCTACTAATCATTACAAGAGCATTAAAATTAAGTAGCTTTCCTTTTTTGCCAATTTCGAAAAAAACGTAGTGACCCTAAAAACATTGAAACAAACTCGTATTCGTACTAATCGGACCGTAAACACCTTTCAACAGAAGCAAGGGGTGACGAATATAAACACGAGACCCCACTCAGAATGACCGAAATACGAAATACATCCTTGTCCTTGTTTTTATTTGTGTTTCGACCCCCTAATACACGAGCCAGTTGATAATGAGAGAATTTTAATTATCTATCCATTTGTTCTTGCAAGAAAAGCGGCGACATGTGGAATTAAGGGCACTAGCACTCGTTCAAACAGTTGTCCTCATTAAGTGAGTTTCTCAACGATTTTACATCACTCATAATAATGTTAATCGCCGCGGAAAATTTACAAGGGCTGCAAAAACTTTATCCGATTCATTTGCGAAAATAACTCGGGAAGCTCATTTCTCGCGAAATTTCGTCGAATTTGCTTTTCAAGTGATGTCAACCAGATTCAATTTGCCTTTATTCTTATTTTACGCTATTGAAAAATCTATATATCACTGTCAATCGTCGAGACGTGCTCGTGCTGATTTATTCATGTGGAATTTAATATGTACTTACTTGTGGTTTTTGATATATCCACGCTGTAGTAAAATATATTGTCGTGTAAACGTCGTCATTTAGACGCTATTTCCGTCTAAACACACAAATAATGACGGAATACTCTGTATATGAGAATATTTCAATTTATCAAGCAACCCTGGGGGTTTATTTACGAATAAACACAAAGTTAGTTGATTTGAATTTGTATTTCAATATTTGTTTTTCCGAATTGTTTGTAATTGCGTAATTTTCGTTTTAACTTTATCGCTTTTGAATTGTTTAATTTAGCATTTAGATGCTCAATTTATGTTCATCTCGTCAAGTTTGAGTAGTTTAGAAAAGGTATTTATTTATTCGCATTATTTAGAAAAAACTGTAATTTGACATTTTTAGCGCATTTCCACAAAAATAAAAAAAAAATGCGCTATTGTGGCCACTTTGTCCGTCCGTCCGTCCGTCCGTCCGTCCGCTAACTTTGCGACGCTACTAGTTTTTATCTTAAGAGCTATTGTTCTACTTTTTTCGCTATTTGGTTCGTTATGGTGTCGAGTCTTGTACCAAGGAAGGAATTTTTTCTGTACCGCTTACAAAAAAAGTAATTGTAAAAAAAACAAAAAACCGTTTTTTACATGTTCCATAATTTTACACTTTTGCCGTTTATTAACGATCCTAGAGATCGTTTATAATTTTGCATTGCTATCTGTCGCCTGCCGGTTGGTCTCTCCGTCTGTTCCTTTGTCTGTCTGTCCATCTATCTGTCCGTGTGAACGATAACTTTGTTTAGAAATGTTCGATCGCTTTTACATCTCCGTTAGTTATGAACTGAATTGCATGAAATTCAATATGGGCATAGATTTAGCCATATAATACGCAATGCCAAAAGTTGGATCGAATCGATTCAAAATTCACAGTGCCCTTTTCGCATCTCGACCATATAAATATAAATTATTGTCAATTTACACATTTTTTCGAAAGATGTATATAGATTTTGCATATTGTAAATACCTACGCGAAAATATCCAAAACGCTCGTGGGCCTGTAATTTGCACTACGTTGCTTCCAAGTACACTCGTGTGTATTTCCCAGTTTCGTACAGATTTGTTGAAAAAGCCGTGGCGTTTCTACTCTTGGATATTGTGAGAAGATGGTCGGTGATTAATATGGGAAGGTCTCAGGAAGAATCTGGGAAAAGTTTCCTTTTGAATTACGAATTCCTGTCTTTATAGAGACAAGGGGCGTCACTAAGCAAGTGAAGAAATAAGAAGGGTGTTAAATTCAAAGGACAGGGGGCATCTAACGGAGGAATTTTACAGCACAGAATACAGGACGTTTACAATAATAAAATTTGGACGTTAGTAATTTTTTTACAGTCTGGCGATATACGACAGTTCCATAGCCATCTCTATTTCCAGAACACCACCATAAGGTTTTAGCATAATTAATTATAGTACAAAAAACACACCAAGAAGAAAACTAAAATGGAAAAAGTGTAGTATAAGACATATATAAGAGAAATAAATAGGTACGGCAACAAAATGAAAAGAAAAAAGGGAAATACAAAAATCAAACATTTCTATTAAAAATCATAATAGACTTTTGTATAAGAGACGCAAGAAATGCCACAAAGAGCAGCTGATAATGCAAGCGGTAAGTATTAACGTGGATTATTATCATACCAACAAATCCACATACTAAACAGAAGAAAAGTTAGAGGGTCCTCTTTTTAGCGCATTTCCACAAAAATAAAAAAAAATGCGCTATTGTGGCCACTTTGTCCGTCCGTCCATCCGTCCGTCCGTCCGTCCGTCCGTCCGCTAACTTTGCGACGCTACTAGTTTTTTATCTTAAGAGCTATTGTTCTACTTTTTTCGCTATTTGGTTCGTTATGGTGTCGAGTCTTGTACCAAGGAAGGAATTTTTTCTGTACCGCTTACAAAAAAAGTTATTGGAAAAAAAACAAAAAACCGTTTTTTACATGTTCCATAATTTTACACTTTTGCCGTTTATTAACGATCCTAGAGATCGTTTATAATTTTCCATTGCTATCTGTCGTCTGCCTGTTGGTCTGTCCGTCTGTTCCTTTGTCTGTCTGTCCCTCTATCTGTCCGTGTGAACGATAACTTTGTTTAGAAATGTTCGATCGCTTTTACATCTCCGTTAGTTATGAACTGAATTGAATGAAATTCAATATGGGCATAGCTTTAGCCATATAATACGCAATGCCAA